CATGGGACTTTTCACTCAGATGGTCCTGGCTTCAGACACCATTTCTGCCACTTCCTAGCTCTGTCACCTGGGTAAACTTTTTAACATATCCTTGGTTTCCCTTGTAAAGTGGGGGTGGGGGTAGCAGCACCTTCTTCCTAGGGTAGTGGGATGATTACACCGTCATAGGTAAAAGGCCTAATATGTCTTGTCCACAGGGATAGACAACAATGTTAACTCTCCACACAGGTTCAATAAAGCCACCAAAACCTTTGGTAGAAATATTTAAGAGTTTCCTAGATTCAGCTCCTCTGGTGAGGGGAGCCCCAACACAGGACTCCCCTTAAATAAATAGGTTTCAGTTTAACAGGAATTCACCTCGTACAATGTCTATTCACTAAGCACAGCTTACCTACAGATATTCTCTATGATTCAAAGATGATGGAATGACAGATGTGTATGTAGTTAATTATAACATAAAAATGCAGGTGTCATGTTAAGTCACTTCAATGATCCAATGGAGGATGATAAAACCTACCTGGTTGACTTAAAGCAGATCTGCCATCAATCACAGGGAACTTCAAAACTCCAGAGCCTTCCAGAATCAGACTTGAGGAGCAGGCCTTTAGTGGTCAGCCCCTCCTGGTACCCCCCCCCCACCCCGCACATACACATTCTTCTCCCTTCATGCGCAAGTGGTTCAGAATGCTAGCCACTGACAGGAGACCAGGTCTGGCAGAGACCACAACTTCCACTTATATCTCTCAGAGACTGTATTTTCTAAAATGAGGTAAAACAAAAAAATGAAGTCTGCTAAGTTGCATTTGTGTTTCAGTCTTAACTGCAGAAGCATGGAGTGCTGTCCCTATACCTTAGGGCTTTTTGCACTTCTTTCTCTACTTAAAGTTTAGAGACCAATACAAACACTTTAGTTCGTAGATGAGGTAAACAGAAGTCCAGAAAGGTGAGCCAGACAAAGTCTCACAGCTAGTCCATAGGCAGGACTAAGATTCCATTTCCCTAGCCTCTACCTGGCTTTGTGATCTGTCAATATAGTTACCGCGGAGTCAGAGAGTAAGACTGCTGCAGGCAGGAGCTCCCAGCAGCACCAGCATGTGAACACAGGTAGGTGGTACGTACATTTAGGACCAGTACCTTCTCTAACATCTATTTATATAGACAAGGAATGAAATGGGATAATTTGCTCTTGACATTTATATATAGGAAACTATGGTTGCTCTTAATGAAAGCTTTAAAGAGGTAATGAAATTTTTCAAAGTGGAACAATGGTTTTTAAAGGGGCTTTTTTTTTTTTTTTTTTTTTAAGAGAGGGTTTTTTGCTATAGGGCATGTGTGTTCACCAGAGAGTCAGAAAGCGAGAAATCACCCCCCAAGGAGGATGGTCATGCCACAGTTCCTTCTCCTCCATTCTCCTCTTGGGATTTTGGGCATGCATGCACATGCGCCCAGCATGAGTTTCAAGCTGCCAGGTCCAGGACTCGAACCACGGCGGGCTACATGGGAGTCCAGTGATGTAATCATTATACCACCTGCTGGTCCTGGAAAAATGGTTTTGTAGGCCACTTATACTTTAGCACAAATTACATTACAATCACTCCCTTTTATTTTGTCTATTTATTTTTGAGAGATTTTTGCTATAAGGATTGTGTGCTCTCTGGAGAGGCAAGAGAGAGACAGAGAGACAGAAAGCAAGAAATCACCTACCAGGGTGATGACCATGCCACAATCCCTTCTCCTCCATCTCCCTCTCAGGATTTTGGGCATGTATATCATGTGCCCTGTGTGAGTTTCAAGCTACTGGGTCTGGGACTTGAACTGCCGTCTTTTATGTGGGAGTCCAGGGCTTTAACTAATACACAACCTGCTGACCTCCTCTCTTTTAAAGAATAAAGAACTTGCAGGTTTGTTGTAAACACAGAGCACATAGACAAATGATACAATTTGGCTTTATTTTTACTTAATTATAACAATAATTTTTTAAAAAAAAACTCCATGACTCTGTGCAATGTCTAATAAATCTTTAAATACAAAACACTTTGAATTTAGCACAAGTACTCTAGGCTAATGCACAACTAGATCTGGGTAAAGTCAGAAGAAATGATTAATCTTGTATGTTTGAAAGGATTGTGTATCATTACAAAGTCACAGCTGAGTCCCTGGGGTCTGGGGTGGGAGAAAGGGTGGGTCAAGGGAGGACGCTCTGGGTCTGACATTCTTGAGCACACTGAGGGTGTGCAGAGAACAGGTTGGTGGGGGCAGTGACACATGGTCTATTCTCATGTTTTCTCTAACACCCCAAAGCTGACTTTTCAGGTGTGCTCTTGCCTAGCATATAAGGCTTTCCATGGCTGCCAGGAGGCAGGGAGCAGAGCAGTGGCAGAGGGATTACCTGGGGGCAGCCAGGCACACACACTGAGGAGGCGCTGGAAAACTGGGGAGGGGGACCCGGAGACAGCTTCTTCTTCCTTTTGTAGACTGAGGAGGAAGGTGTTTGGGGACCTTTTCCTGAGTATGAAGGAGGAATACAAATTTGAAAGGTAATATTTGTATGTTAAAACATATTGAACCAATAGATGGGGAGATGTAAACACACTTTTATTCAAACTGAAGACTTTTGTAACAACCATACTAACAGTAGTATTTCGTAAGTTTTTAGCTAAATAAGATTCAACACTAAAATAATGACGGTAATTTTAACTTTGGAGGGCTCTTTTTAAAGCACCACTTAAAAACCTATATATTAAAAGAATTAAATATAGAAAGATTGTTTTAAGTAAGGAATGAGTTTGAGAATGCACAGGAAACAACAGAACCGATTTTTAACCTCTGGTAACTGATACACACCACTAAATCAAAGCCATTTTGAGATTTCTTACACTGTTCACTTAATAAAAAACAAATGAGAGCTATCGAAGAGTTCCCTGGTAGATTCCCAGCTGTTGGAGGCCTACGACCTTTTGTAAGTATGATCACTGACTGGCTAATTTCTAAGTTTTAAATCTCACACTCAAAAAAGTAAAGATTTACAAGTATTTTATTTTTGAGAAAATCTGAGAAATAACCAAAGGAATTGGAACTAGTTTTAACAATCTCTGAAAATTTTAAACTCTAGATTTACATATTTTGAAACTAACTTCGAAACAAGATAGAGTACAAACGATGTACGTGTACACTGCACTGCTGAAGCGGCTCAAACTTGCCAAGACACCTTTACAGCAAGTTCCTTTGGACTTGCTTCCTCCAAGAGGCGCCAGGTCATTTTTTGCTTGTCACCAACAGCCTCGTTAAAAGAAACGATAAAGAACCTACTGTATAAATCACTCTCAGGTGTCCGCCCTGCCAGCTACAACAGCCCAGCCGGCGGTTGCCGGCCTGGCCGTCTGCCCCCCGCCTCACCGCCGCCGGCTGGGACGCTTTTCATACTTGTCTTGGGTGCTCCGCTTCCTGGGTGGAGAGGAGCCGCGAGAGCGGCTGCTGTGCTTGTAAGGATGGCTTCTGTGCTTCTTAGGGCTTTCTTCTTTCCTGTCCTGGCTTTTCGCAGGCTCCTTACTGCCCTCTTTTTGTTCTTGATCTTGCTCTTTATGGGAGGGCAATGTGTTCTTAATTGTGTTAATCAGAAATCTTTTATTCGTCCCAGCAAGAGGACACTTCATCCTAAGGTGGAGGAAGAGAAAAGGGAAACCATCACAAGAGCTAGCAAACCCACTGTCACGAGCAGTACCGGAGGAGCCAGTGTGCAGGGCGGTGTCTGAGTCGTTCAGCTTTCCTTGCATGCCACCTAGTGTAAACTCTGAGCACAGGGGGAGACAGACGCAGCTCCTGAGGACGGCCAGCTGCACTTGTCGGAATGCTTCATGCCTTCTTCCTCCTGCCAGGTTTACATGTACAGGTAACGTGAATTAAAGGGATCACCTAACATTTTCTCCTGAAATAATAAATGTCTGATTTGACTATAACTTGTTTTATATTAAATCTATTGTACCTTCCTTTTTATTATCAACAAGTGAAAACATGTCTTTCTGAGGAATGAGAAAGTAAATCCTGTTTTTACTTGAATACATGAACTAAATGTTCTAGTCTAGAAATTAAAAGAAAAAAAGGGTAAAGAATCCATCAATATGTATGTAATAATCTCTTTTTGCCACCCCCCCCCCCGCCTCTTTTAAGGTTTTTGTCATAGGAACTGTGTGCTTGCTGGAGACAGAGAGAAACAGTGAGAAAGAAAGGGAGAAATCACCCCCTGGGTGGATGGCCACACTGCAGTCCCTTCTGTTTTCATCCTGGGATTTGGGGCACACACACACATGAGCCTCATATGGTTAGTTGCTGGGTCTGGGAATTGAACTGTGGTCGCCCATGTGGAATCCAGTGCCTTAGCCATCACACCACTTACTGACCCCCTCTTTTAGCTTTGTAAAAAGGCTCCCATACATTTTATTTACAGACTCTGGTCTGTGCTCTGTAGAGGCACTTTCCTCACACTCACCCTCTGGGTAAATTTTTGTGCAGTGTATATTTAAGTAGTTTCATAATTCAAGTTGATCCAGGAAAAATAACTCCACGAGAAAACTGGCATTCTTTTCTCTTTTTAACATCAACAACGCAATTTTTAATATGGGTTGTGCCTGAGCTTTTATTTGAAGGGAAAAGCCAAGGATGGCTTGGAAGGACCCTGGCTGGCTGGGGTGGGGTGGGTTAGGTGGGATTTGACATCAGATCTTTCCGTGATATGCCAGCACACATTTTAGAAATGAAGATAAGTCTTCATTCTATTAATAAATCTGACAGGGCAACGAGAAAGCAAGCAAGATGTGAAAGCAAAAGTTTTGTGTAAAGAAGTTATAAAATCTGCTCCAACAGATAGAAGAATAAAGGGAGCAACATCGATGCCTATGTCTGAGGAGCTCAATTGAGGCAGCTGCTCTGGGCTTTAATGCAGTAATTCATTGTGCTGACTCTCACAGGCAGTTGTTTTATTGCTATGAAATCATACAATGTGATGATTGTATGATTTCATATGCACAACGTGATGATTAATGGGATGTCCCACATGCTGTGGAATCTCACTACCCTATGGGAGTCAGTCTTGTGGATATATAATAATCTCATTGCCTCTAAGCCGTCGAATGATAATAAGTGACTACTTTAGAGGTTTGCATGCAGATCAATGAGTAAGAACATGTAAATTGCTTAGAATAATGCCTGACATATAATAAGCACTTAGTAAATTTTAGCCTTAGCACATAGCCTAGCTCTACAATTTAATTAGCTGTGTGACCATGAACAAGTTATTTAGCTCCTTTCTGCATTGGTTTTCTCCATCTATAAAATGGGAATAAAAGAAGTAACCACCTTATAAAGTTATTGTGAGGGTTTAATGAGATAATACATAAAACATTTAGTATGATAACTGGCACACAGCAAATCTTCAATAACTGTTACCTATGAGTCCATAATTTCTTATTTCCAATGCCAACATTTGAATACCAACTTGATTTCATTTTACATAATCAAAATTTGTCAGCAAAACGTGGGCTGACCTGACACTAGACTATTTATACACAATCCTCATCCCATTCAGTGTAAACATTCATGTGTTTTGGTGCGGACAATTGAATGAGTACCTTGGATGGTGGGAGGGGTTTTGTATTACACACTACATGTACTACAGTGCCTTTCTAAAATGTGAAAATATCTGAACTTAGAAATTTACTTGGGGGCTAATAGGTGGCATGGTGGCTGAGGTGCTGGACTCCCACTTGGCCGACCAAGGTTTGAGTCCCAGACCTCGTGGCTTGCTTTTCACTTTCCATCTTTCTTTCTGTGTCTCCCTTTGGCAAATTAAAAATAATAATGATAAATAAAAGTAAATAAAAAATTATTTTAAAAAAGAAATTTGTCTGGATCTAAGGGTTTTAAACAAGGGACTATATATAGACTTATGTTATTATTTTCACTCTCTCTTCATGAAAGAGTCCATGTAGCACTCAAAAATATTAATATGGCAGAGATTTCTCCAAAAGGGCAATTCATAGCATACCAAAATCTCAAGAATTTGTTAATCAAGCACAGAGTAGAATATCTGATGTTACTCACTGTTAAAAAAAGAAAAAGAATCTTGCCATCATTAAAAGTCAGAGACATTTTGTTTAAAATATTTATTTAATTTTATTACCATATTACTATTTTAATTTGCTATAGGGCTCATGTGCTCACCAGAGAGAGACAGAGAGAAAGGGGGAAAGTAAGAAAGCAAGCCACCAGGTCCAAACTTGAACCATAGTAGGCCATGTGGGAGTCTAACACCCTGACCACCATGCCACCTGCTGGCCCCTGAAGTCAGAGACTTTTTACAGAAATTATAAAAATGGTTAAAATAAAATTTTTTTGATACTTAAAAAGTTTAGACTTCTGTTCCTCCAATCATTTCCTGGTCTTTTGGCTAAGATCCAGTGTAGGTCCAGAAGTCTTGATTGATACCAGGATCAGTGGACAGCCAGATATTACCTCTTAAAATCTGTATTTCTAACTGTTCCCCAAACTCTCTAGGACTCAGTGTCCTCAAATGGAAAACTAAAGACTGAAGTAAGCAGGTAATCTCTGAAGTCCCTTCTTGTTTTACTATTTTTCTGCTCAAGTTCTGTATGTTAATTCTCTAGGAAGCCGTCTCCTCTCACTCACCACCCTAGGAAATGTCTTCATTGCCTTGTTCTGTCTGCCTGTGCGTTTCTCAGCTCTTTCTTACTGCCATCTTTTCCTGTATGTGACATGGCACAAGAGGCATGTGGCATCAGATACTCAACTATTATATAGCTTTTTCTCATCTCAGTTTTGTGGTAAAAATCTGGGCCTGGCCACAGCTGCCTGATTTGTCTGCACTGTCTGTCACCTCTGTCACTGTCTATGCCCCAAAAAGGTACACTGGAGCCAGGGACCCAAGGAGGCCACAGGACAGGGCAGCTGCTTTCCTGTTGTAGCTCTCACTGCAGAATGTTGACTTGTTCACACTGGCTAGTTATTTTTATTTTGGGCTTATTTTGGGTTCTCAAAAGTTATCCTGGCTCACATGGAAAGAGCCAGATTTAAGGTGGTAACAGCATAAACGGCTATAAAACCCTAAATATCACGAGACTGGATAAAACTGCTCTAAAAAGTACCCACGACACACTGTCAGATCTCAGATCTGGCATCCTAAGTTAAATGTCACAAGAGAAGTGATTACCTTCACTTTTTAGCCTGTCAACCCAGAAACTGAGATGAAGGGTTCCACATACCAGAGGAGAAGCAGATTCCTGGCAAATCTGCTATTAAAGGTGGATCAGTGTAGGGAGATAAACTTGTCTTTTCTTCTGAGTAGGCACACTGTGTAAAATAGAAGGCACCTGCTCCATGCAGTTACCATACTCGTCTTAAGAAATGCAGTAAATTATTTAGTAGTAGTATTTCTAGATCTTCTCTAGAAACACAGTATTTATCTAGATTTGTATAAGACAAATCTAGAGAACAAAAAGGGGAAGCTAAATGTAATGTGGTTTTCTGATTTTAGTGTTTCACTTCTCCTCTAGGATGGGGTAGTAGTATCTAGCTTTCCACAGATTAGACTTGCCACTTTCGGTTTCTAAGATAGTTTCATGAATATGACCCATCAAAGAATGACATACAATCACTAGTCAAGAGTTTTATGGTAGAATAATAACAATGATTTGCTATTTTAGGAAGCAAACACCCCATGCCATTACCAATGTTAACGTCTTTTCATCTCTGCAACCATCATCCAAGTTACAGAGAAACAAAGAAAAGATAAAGCAACTTTACGATCCTAGGCTAGCAGAATGCAGAGCCAGTTGGGAACCAGGCACTCCTGCTCCAGTGGCTGCCCTTGCAGTACTGTCCTGGATGGGGAAGAAGAGTAGAACAAAGACTTGCAGCAGTCTAATCAGATGGTCAATTAACAAGCAGTCAGGAAAGACAGCGCAGATGCATGCTTGTCAGCACGACTGTAGCCGGCAGTCCTCCACCCAGGACAGGCACCATGCAGCAGATCACAGTGGCAGGTCTGCTAAGAATGGCTGGCGCTCAGGAGCCCAGGAGAATAATCAACACAGACCAAAACAAAGGTGGAGAATCTTTAAAACACAATTGTCTTTGAGATGTGTGAAGTAACATATGCACTGGAAAATTATGATTCATAAAAATTATTTTTATGGTGAGGGAAAGAGATGCCTTAGGGTCATGGAACCAGGGTTCCATGCAACACACCCTAATGAGTCCTTTATTCTATAGCCAAATCCTTTCCATACCAGCAAACAACATTTCTTCTTCTTCTTCTTCTTATTATTATTATTTTGGGCCATACAAAATGTATGCTCACCAGAGAGTGACAGAGAGAGAAAGCAAGAAATCACTCCCTAGGAGGGATGGCCACCCTGGAATCCCACCTCCTTCATTCTCCTTTTAGGATTTTGGGCATGCACGCACATGCACCTGGCATGGTTTTTGAAGCTGCTGGGTTCCAGATTTGAATTGTGATCAGCCACATGAGAATCCAGTGTCACTGTTCCCCAGCAAACAGTATTTTACCTTCCATTCTATACACTTATTTGCTTGATCATGGCTGTAAGTCTAAACTAATGCCTGTACAAAGATTGAGACAG